GAAGCCTGGTGGGGTGAGGCGGGCCACTGGGGGCGTGGCTGGAAGGGCCCCTCTCCCTCCCTCCTCACGCGGCTGCTCCCTGCTTCCTGCCCACCGTGCTGTGAGTGGGCCTCGTGTACTGTGCCCGCTGGCCATGCTGCCCGACGTCAGAGCCGGGGGCTGGGGGCCGAAAGCTCTATAGACCGACAGCCCAAACAAACCTCTCTTCATTTAAACTGTGGGTGTCAGGTACTTTGTCCCAGCAGTGAGGAAAGAAAGAAAGACGCCCAGGCAGACACGGTGATGGAGCGCTTTTCCCTCCTGAGCCAGCCGCTCGGTTTCTGCCAGGGCTTTTGCTCAGGTTGATTCAACTGAGAGAGGTGAAAGGTTCCTGGGCCTAGGCCAGCACTGCCCACACAGAAATACATCACCCACACGTCATGACGAGCTTTCTAATAGCCAGGATAAAGTGAATTTACTTCAATGTCAAAAGACAACATTCCAATACATAACTCAAAATAACGTTAATGCAAAACTGTTAACGAGAAAGTTTACATTTTCCTCGCCACGGCTTCCAACTTGAGTATTTTGCACCCACAGTACTCCATTCACAGAGGCCCCAGTTCAGGTTTTCAACAGCCACCCGTGGTGCTGGCTACACTGCGGGACAGCTTGAGTACTGGTTCCAGCACCCCCAACTTGAAACTCGGGGTGCCTCATGTCCCTCACTGCAGCTGTAGCACCTCGGTTGCCAGCAGCTCAGAGCCACTCGTCACGTTTTTGATGTCTTCCTAACCTCAAACTAGTCACTGGGAATAGTGGGCACATGAAAATGAGAGCGGCCCCAAGGACTGGCGCTCACTCCGCCCACAAAACTCCACGGTCTGCACGTCTTCCCCAGACAGCGGCTACGGCCAAACACGTTAAAGGTGCAAGCAGCTTTAATCATACTGAAAAAAACTCTAAAGTGCGCGTGTCTGCTGCCTCTGACGCGTGGACTCGCTGCAGGAATCCGAGGGAGGGCTTGGGGTACCCTGTTGTCCCACGCTGAGGAGGACATCAAGGCCAGCTCCCAGCTGCAGAGACCGGTCTCCAAGACAAGGAGGTAGAGCCCCAGCCAAGAACGGTACTACAGCCGAATCCCAGGATGCAGACGTTCTGAGCTAAGGAATCACACAAGCTGCCCCAGCCCACAGACCTGGGAAAGGCAGCTTTCAAAGCCCTCCCATTGAGCACAGGCATTCGCTGAAGTCAGGCACCCGATGTTTCTATTCTCTCAAAACAACTGTTCCCATCCTTGCAGACAGACTGAGACTGCCTGGAGAGTTCAAGGCCGTAGAGTACTTAACTCAAGCCCAGGCCCTGTACTGTCCAACGTGGCCTGTGCTTCATATGGAAATCCTTTGGATATGTTATTTCTAAAGAAAAGGTTTTACTTAGAAAGTAAGAGAAAATGGTAAGGGACTGTGGGTTGCAGAGCTGATGAAGATCAGGCTGGCCCCTAACAAAGGAGAGTAAGAAACCGGGAAAGGACTCCAGCTCATTTTGATGGGTAGGAAAAAAGGCTTACTGAACAAATCTACAAGACACATGTCCCAGCAACGAGCAGTTATCTATGTCTATGCTAATTTTTTTTCGAAGACTGGCTCCTTGGGGGTCTGCGTTCACCCGAGAAGTCTGTCAGTGATGCTCAGCCTGTGAGGCTCCCGACCTCAGCCCCAAGCGGTGTATGTGGCACATGTGCAAGCCTGCCCAGGTGTGCAGCGCGTTTGCAAGCCAGACCTCGCTGAGGTCTCCCACACACACATGTACGTTAGCTGGGGACGCCTGGAGAGGTCGTGATGCAGCCCCTCCATGGGTCACACAAGTCCTGGCCTCGAAAGAGATGCCGACTGGGAAGCTGCGGGCCAGGGCCCCCTTCCGCCCTCCACATCGTCGGGGAAGGGCTTCAGGTAGGCCTGGGAGGCTGAGAGGGCCACGCAGGGCAGGCCAGCCCCTGCCCAGGAGAAGAATACAGATTGATGACACCTCAGGGCCTTGAAGAGGGAGAGTATGAGCTTGTGCAACAGAGGGCAAGAAAGGGCAAGTGTGTGCGTGTGCATACGTGTGCACACACACTTCACAGACAGCATGGATAGCTGTATCCATTTACCAGCACTGCCAAAACAAAGTCCCACAGATAGAGTGATTTCACAGTGTAAATTTATTTCCCCTCAGTTCCGGAGACCAGAAGTCCATGATCAAGGTGTGCCCAGGACTGGCTCGCCTGAGGCCCCTTGCTGTGGCTTGCACACGGCTGCTGCTTCTCGTGTCTTCGCAGGGTCGTCCCTGCGCCTGCCTGCGTCTTAGTCTCTTTATAAAGGCACGGATCTCACTGGAGCAGAGCCTGCCCTGACAGCCCCGTTTTACCTTGCTTACCTCTTCGGTGACCTACCTCCAAACACAGGCATTCTGAGGGGCAGAGCATCGCCCAGTGGATTTGGGGGCAACACAAGCTACACACGCACACAGTGAGAGGGTGGGCCGGCGCACACATGCGTGGGGTCAGAAAGGGGCCTGGGAGAAGAGCGGGTGGGAGCGTGGGGGGCAGGTCAGGCGGGGCCCACAGCCAGAGAAAGGCATTGCCGAGCCCCCGCACCCCTCTGTGAGGATCTGAGGCTCCCGACAGCCCTGCTGGCCCCACCACCCAGGTCTCCGCGCCCCCTGCTGGTCCAGGCCCAAAACTCAAGGGAAGCTCTTTCGGCTCCAGCCCCTCTGACACTGCTGTCTGCAGCTCCGTGAGCTTGAAAATACCCTCTCAGGGGTGGGGTGTAGCTCAGCAGCAGAATGCTTGCTCAGCAGGCCCCACAGTCCCCAGAACCACCAAAAATCAGAAAGTTTGATCAGGAGAAGGTGGGTGAGGAGAGGCAGAGAAAGTAAAACATTACAATGATGAAGATAGGCTATGTATGTGCCAATTCCCCAAAACAAATGTAACTATCATGGTCCCCAAAATACTTTTTTTTGAGACAGGGTCTCACTATTTAGTCCAGGCTGGCCTTGAACTCACAGCGGTCCTCCTGTCTCAGCCTCCCGAGTGCTGGGATTACAGGTATATGCCACCATGCCCAGCTAAAATATACCGATTTTTTTTTAAATGCACATTTAAGGACCAATCTGTAATTAGTAGTCTCTGAAATTATAAGTATTAATACTATAATCACATGGGTGAAACATAAAGACTTTTCCCTAAAAGTTAAACCTGAAGACACATCCAGTCATTAGGCATATCATCAGACATGAGGATAAGAAGACAGCAAGTAGCACACATGCTGTTAATCATGGAAACGTGTCTGACAAGACACACTTGGGATCTGTTTGTTCGGTCTCGACCTGAAGCAACCCACAGGGCACCGTGACGTCTTAGGGTCACACGTGGTGCCGTCCGCACACCTGGCCTCCTGACTGTCCACTGTAAGAACAAGGTGCACAGCCCAGCGCCGTCAGGAAGGGACCCTTCCAAGACCCGCCCGCCCCGGGCTGGGCCTGGGGTAAATTAAATGTGATCTGTAAGTTTCTCACCTAACTAAAGCTCCCACAGAAACACTACCAGCAAAGGAAGACGAGACGACACTTTGCAGTCCCCAAGTGACTTCTGAGTGAAGTGCTCGCAAGCACCTTGAGTACCCCGCTCCCAGGCCCCAAGGGTAACCCTTGGATGAGTAAGAAGCCACGCAGGCCGGCACTTGGGCAGACGTCTCCGTGGTCCTGCCCACTGTCTCCAGGAGGCGACTCCACCTACCTTACTCTGAGTGCTACCTTGACCGCTGGCGGCCTGCGGGTCTCCACTGAATTTTACCAAGGGCCTGAGAACCGAGACCCAAGGAAGCGAGGGGCCGCTCCTCACTGCACCGGAGCGCCAGCAAAAGGAAGGGCCAACAGGAGACGTGGAAGCCCTCCAGGGAGCTGGTGTGCCCAGGACGGCACTAGCTCGGTACAGCGCCCCAGCTCCTCCTGCCACACAGCCCGGGGCAAGGCTGGCAGCTGCCGGGAGGCAGAGGCAGCCCCACGGGCCAGGCGGGATCCTGCCTTGCAGTCCTGACCACCAGCTGCAGTTGCCCTGCAAGCCAGCCCCTGAACCTCCTCCCACCCAGCCCGCGCACCCCCCCTCCAGTCACCACAGCATCTGACCACCGGCTGACCTCTGCCCATGGGGCTGCCTGGTCCCCAGCCCCTTCCGTCTATAGACCCCACTGCTCCCTGCACACCGCACCCACCACAGCCCTCCCCACAGCCCTGGCCAATGGTCGGCACCTGCCACCCCAGAGGAAGTCTGCGCTGGGACCCAGCTGGGGCCCGCGTCGCATCAAGACTAAGGCTCACACCCCCTCCTGTCCCCAGTCCCACACCCAGGTGCAGGCTGTCACATACCCTTGGCCCCACCTGACCGGCCTGGGGGCTGCCACCATGTTACCTCCTTGGGCCCCGAGCACCCCCAGAGAGGCACGAGGTGGGGCTGACCAGCCAGGCACCCACCCAGCCAGCACCTGAGAGGGCAAACCAGGGAGTCAGAACCTGGCCAGGGGCAGCAGGCTACTGCTCGAGGGACAGCCGCAGAGCACACGGTGGCAGGGGGGCCCCAGCATCTGCCTGGTTGTAGAGGGTGGCGTTGTCTGCGTGTGGGGACACCAGCAGCCCTCTCTGGAGCAGTTCTGGTCAGCCGTGGCCCCCGTGGGAGGCACACGAAGCGGAAGCCTCGCATCAGTGGCCCCGGCCAGCAAGGCCCAACCACAACGTGGCCCCAGGCGAGGCGACGGCCATGTGTGCACTAAATGCACCGTTCAGTTACTCAGCGCCCGCGTCTTCCTCCTCGGCCACCCTGAGCTCACCCTGGCGTCTTCTGGCCACCCCGCCCCCAGGGGCCCTCACCGGAATGTCTGGGGGCCTTGGCCCCAGCCTCGTCTCCCCTGGGAACTCAGTCAGGAACTCGGTGCCGCTCTGGCTTCTGAGGGCCATGTGAGCGAGGGGACGTGGGAGCCACACCCGTGAGAATTGCCATTTATTCCCGAAGTTGCCAAAATCATCACCAAGGATTCACCAAGGGGTGTGAAGGGAAATGAGGCTCAAACACTGATTGGGAGGGCAGTCTGGAGGGAGGAGGAATGGGTGGGGGACCCCGACTGTCCTCCCCCTTATAATGCCACGGACAGGGGTCCTCCTCAGCTGCCCCCCATGTCCAGTCTCTCCGGGGAGTGGGCGGGGACGTGGGAAGAGGGCGTAGTGTGAGTGGGCCCGGGAGGGGCGGGCGCTGGGGCGGCCCGCTTCACATGCACTCACAACACTGTCTCCCGGGGCGGGATCGGAGGCCTCCGGGCCAGGGCCCTCCCTCCCGGATTATAGAAGGAAGGGGTTAGTGTTAGGCGCCGGAGGGCCGGGGGGCATCATGGGTGGCAGGCCTGGGCCCCCGCCAAGGGGAGAGATGTAGGTGGGCGGCGCCCCAGGGACAGGGGGCACAGGACTGAGGCGGAGCTGATTCAGGGTGAGCGTCGCTGGGGGTGCGGGCTGGAAGGGGTTGGTGATGGAGGGGCCGGTGGCCGGGGCTCCTGCAGGGAGAGAAGGCGGGAAGCACTAAGCGCGCGCGCCGTGGGGATGCGCCCACGGGCAGGGGCCGCCTGCTCCCCAGCTCACCGCTCGGCAGGAAGGGGTTGGAGGCCTTGGCTCCTGGCGGCGCGGGGCCCGGCCGGCTCACCAGGGAGTCCAGGTCCACGAGGGCCGCGTTGGGGCCCAGGAACGACTCCGGGGTCTTCCGCGTGGGGGGCGTAGGGGCCGGGGTGGCTGCGGGTGGGGGGCTCCCCACAGCCTCGGCCAGGGAGCCCCCAACCCCGCTCATGTCAAAGGCCCCTGGGCTGCAGGCAGGCACCTCTCCTGCTAGCAACTCCAGCTCACCTGGAAGGAGCGGGACGATGCCGGGGTCAGACAGCAGGGCCACCAGGTGCAGGGCACAGGCGGGCGGGGTGGCCCCCAGGCTGTGGGCATGTGGGACCCAGGTGCCACTGCCGAGCAGAACAATGAGGCCAGGTGCTGAGGGCAGCGCAGGCAGACACTGCAGTCTCCAAGAGCCCCCGAGCAGCTCACTGGCACAAGGTCCTAGAGGACTGCAGGAGACACGGCCCAGGCCCAGGGTCCCAGCGGGCCGACGGGCTCTGACCTTTTAGCAGATGGGAAAGTCTAAGGTTGAAAACGCACACATCTGTAGGGAGGCTGAGAAGCACGGAAACTGCAGGGCACACCGCGGGTCTAAGCTTCGGGCAGCAGAGGGGGAGGGGAGCACAGGGCACTTTCACCCTTGGGGCACGGGAACCTGCGTCCACACTGTCACTGCTCCAACAGGAGTCTGCCTGACCCGGGACAATTTACCAAAGCACAAACGCGACCAACAGTGGAGCCATACGGCTGCCAAGGGGCCCAAGGGCACCAGGCAGCCTGAGCGGAGAGGCCAGGCTGCGGCAGAGGGCGGCACATTGGTGCTGTCCGCACTTCCCTCCTACCAGCAGGGGACCCAAGGCCAGAGGGTGAGTGGTGATGCTGGTGGCGGTCTCAGAGCCACTTCAGCAGCCTTTCCCCACGTCTGAACTGCTCCACGCCACGGTCTGCCTCACCCCAGCCCATTGACCTCTCACATGGACCCTGGGGCCATCCCTGGGGGCGTGGTTGGGGCTCACCCGTGCTGCTCCCCGAAGCCGGCAGGGCTGTGCGGAGTCGGTCAAAGTCTGAGAACTCATCAGGCTCGGTGTCAAAGCCCGCGACTGCTGTGGGGCCAAGGTGCCCACTCAGTGCCCGCCAGGCCACCGGGCCCCCCCAGGAACCAGGACCCTCGGCCCAGCCCTCTTCCACCATCAGTACCTGCAGTGCCATTGGTGCTGGGTTTGGCGGGTGACCCTCCCCAGGGGTCCGAGAAGGCTGGTGCCGGCGCCCACGGATCAGAAGCTGGGGGTCCGCTGACAGAGGCCCCACCTGGGTGAGGAAGAAGTGTGAGGGGCTGGCAGTCTGTCCAGCTCAGGTAGCTGAGAGGCCCCCAGCCAGCTGCGTATGGGCCCCGCCCCACCACAGCCTGAGCCCCCAGAGGCCCAGGCCACACTCAGGGCTCTGCCCCCAGGGTCCCTGGCCCCTGGTATCGCATCTGACCGCACAGTGCCCACGCAGCCCGCTTCCCCCAGCCCTGGCACAGGGCGACAGCAGGGCAGGGATGACTCACCCTCAGAGCCTCCCCACGGGTCCGGAGGGGGCCCCTCTCCGGCTGCAGGGGCTGGGGTCCCTCCCCATGGGTCCACTGAGGGCCCCGTGGGGGCAGCAGGCCTCCAGGGGTCCCCAGAGGCCGGTGTGGGGGCCGGACCGCCCCAGGGGTCAGCAGCAGGAGGGACAGTGGGGGCCCCCCAGGGGTCTGAGGCGGGGGCAGCTGCAGGGACAGCAACAGCCATGGGCGCCGGGCCTGCCCAGGGGTCTGAAGCTGGTGCAGGAGCCGGGGCTGAGAAGACGTCAGCAAGGTCCATGAGGGACGACTGCGGGAGAGAGGAGCGGCATTAGGACATCCTGGAGACAACCACCGGCACCAGCACGGCCACGCAGGGCTGGGCCAGGGCCTGGGAAAGCGGACACCACAGGGCCTCTGCCCTGCCTCCAGGCATTGGCCCACCTCCACCTGCCTCCTTAGCCCAGCCCCGCATCCACCGCCCAGCACCAGCAGCCTCCAAGCCACCCACCCAGACGCACCGACGGCCCTGACCTCCAGGCCTCCTCACCCAACCTGGATGGCTGCAGCGCCTCAGCGGGCCCCGCCCCCGCCCCCGGGCTCGGGAGGGCACACCGTCAGGCGTGACCCTGACACAGGACAGACGTGTGCACCAGCCCTGTCTCTACGACTCCAGATGCCCACACCACACTTGGCCCAGTCAGCACTATGGGGCAGAGAGCCACACCCTTCCCGGGGAGCAGCACAGCCACTGCTCACTGAGAAAACTCTGCAGCCAACGTGGTGGCACAGGCCTGTAATCACAGCACTCAGGAGGCTGAGGCAGGAAGACTGAAAGCTCAAGCTGCACCTGGGCAACTTAGAACCAGTCTCGAAGCAAACACTAACAAACGGCTGAGGATATAGTTCAGGGTGAAGACCCTGGGGTCCACACTTGGTACCACAAATTTTGAAAAAAAAAAAAGCAAGCCAGCCTCAGTGGTCAACAGCTGTGGCTCCCAGCATCCCCACACCTCCAGCCTCAGGCCTGCCTGCCCCATATCACCAAGATGCCCAGGGCCTCGTGCGGGCCGCAGCGCAGCCAGCCACGGGTAAGCTGTGCCGACAGGACAGACGGCACTGCCTGAGGCCGAGCCACCGTGAAGCGTGGCACGAAGCTGGGGTGTGGCAGCGCCTGCCACAGAGGGGTGGAGGCGACTTCGGTGCCCAGCACGGCAGCCCCGGGGCACCTGGACACAGGGTGGGCACGGGGCTCTGGCTCTGGCTGCTCCCACGCCGTGCGGCCCCCAGCCGGCAGGGAGTCCCCTCACCTCCTCCTTGCCCCCCGTCTCCCGCTTGCTCTCCTCAATGGCCATCTGCAGCCTCAGGTCGTCCCCACGCCGGATGCGCTCCTCCTGCAGGGCCAGAAGCAGCGGCGCGGCCTGAGCACAGCGCCAGGGCACCTGCGCAGCCCCACCACCGGCCCCCAGCCACAGCGACCGACACTCGGATGAGATGCGCGTGAACCGGACGGATGAGATGGGGATGCCAAGGGCCACGCTGGGTGGGAGGCAGGGGTGGGCAACGGGCGCTGGGAGGGAGGGCCGCAGAGCAGGCGGCTGTGGGCGTGGCTGCCCCCCCGGCAGCTCCAGCAACTCTGGGCACTGAGGGCGGGGTTGCAGACCCTGCGTGAGGGAAGGGACAGCAGGGCGGCCACGCTGACCTTATCGTGCTCCTCTCGGCTCAAACTAAGGGCCAGCTGGAGCTGGACGTCATCCTCGGGGCCGCAGGACGGCGGCTGGGGGAAGAGAGTGTGAGGGGCAGGGGAGAGTCAGCCGGAGCCCAGCGGAGGCAGGTGAGAGCGAGAGTGTGAGAGCGAGAGACAGAGCGAGAGAGCGAGAGAGAGAAGCGGGGAGAGGGAGAGAGGCGCCACAGGGCTGACGCGCGGGCCGTGCGCCCACACGGAAAGGGCCGGCAGGGCGGGGGGGCAGGGCAGGACAGCAGGGCAGAGGCGGAGTGGAGACAAGTGAACGAGGCGTGGCGCGTGGAGACAGGAGGCAGGAGCGAGCTGAGCCCGCGCGGTACCTGGTCCGCCTCCTCCTTGCTCATGGCCAGGGCCAGCTGCAACTGCAGCTCCTCCTCCCCGCTGCTCTGCGGCCACGCCTGCTCCGCCTCGGGTGGCGGCCCGGAGCCCACGGCTGCCGAGGAGGCTGGGGGGTGAAGGGAGAGGTGAGATGGAAAACGGCATCCTGGCCAGGCCTGGGCGGGGCGGCGTCCTGCCGCAGGGACACAGGGCAGCCCCACTTAGCGGCAGGAGAGGCCTCCATCGGCATGGGCTCGCCCGCTCAGGCCAGCACCGAGCCCTCCCTGTAGGGGCAGCAGGCACGGTCCAGGGGGCTGGGCTCCGGCAGCGGGGGGACAGCATCCACCCAGGCTGTGAGACTCAGGCTCCACCAGAAGGGACAGGGTGGACAAAGAGCCCCTCGGGTCCAGCCCAGAGAAGGGACGGCAGGTCCGTGAGACCAGGCCGCCTCTGGGGCCAGCAGGAGGGAGACCGCCTCTGCAGCCAGCACATTTTGGCAGCACCCCCAAAGGACACCCTGCACTGCCTGGGCCCTGCCCCACCTCCCCACGCCCTGGCTCCCTGGCTCCTGTCCCCCCACCTACCTCCCCAGGTCCCCAGCTGTGCCCAGTCAGTCCAGCACCGGGCCACACCAGGGTAGTGTCCCCAGCAAGCAAGTGTCGGGACTTACACCCCATTATGAGCCTTGAGGCCCTGACCATGACAACTCCCTTCAAGGCCCTGTGCCTGTCCCCGTGGGACTCCTGTGGCTCCTGGCAGCTTGCTCTAGGAAAAGGGTCAGCAGACTACAGCCCATGACCAAGGCCTGTGTTTGCATTTTAAACAGTTGGGGAAGAAACAGAATAGAAAAGCATTAAGCCCCATAAAACCAGACATGGATCAGTTCAGGGGCTGCAGGAGGAGCGTGCCAGCTCACTCGTGCAGTGGGGGGAGCCTGCCGCTGACCCACTGACAGCTTCTGCTCCGGGTCTTCAACTGATACAGGAGCTCCCCTGAAACCGGGCAGGAGGCCCACACACCGCCCGCTGGGTCTGGTCTCCACGTGGGAGCCAGCAGTGCCCCCGAACGTGCTGCACTGAAGCAGCCAGTATCCGGCAGAGCCTCTGGTGTCACAGCCCCCCACTTCACCTGACCGCACCCCAGCCTGACTGCACAGCTCCCCTCCCACCACCAGTCCCTAGCCTAACAGGCGGAGAGCCCTGTGCAGTCTGACCTGCAGGCCTGTCCGGATGACAGAGGCTTCCAGACAGACCGAGGCCGTGCAGAGTGGGCTCCTGCCTCTGCTGACACTCTTTCCAAACACAGCTGCCACCCCCAGCTCTAAGAACATCAACAGCCCTTGGAATCCAGATGCCAAGGCCGGCGCCTGCAGCTCCCCGAGGCCACACACCGGGTGGGCCGAGCAGTGCCAAGGGAGGCCCCACACCCAAGCCCACAGAGAAGCTGCGGACCACGATGTGGGCAAGGGCAGGAGAGCAGGGCTGCAGGGCTGCCAGGTGGCAGGAAGGACCTCACCTGTGGCCGTCTGGGCCAGCTTCTCCTTGGTCTTGAGCGCATGGGCTCGCTCCTCCCGCAGCCGGTCCTCGTCCCGCAGCAGGGCCACCAGCTGCTTGGCCTTCTCCCGCACGTTCACGCCCTGGTCCTTGCCGTCGCGGTCCACGTACTGGAAGTCCTTCAGCGTCTGCACAGCGTACATGTTCTCCTTGCACTGCTGCGACACGCGCTCCGAGCCCGTCTTGATGAGGTACTCCATCAGTGTCATGGCCTGCGGTGGGGACACACCCGTCACTTGGCCTGCCTGGGCCGCTGTCGGGGTCCAAAGCCACCACCCACTCAATCCTGTCCAGTGAGGCTCCACCCAGCCATAGCCACACGATGCTCAGAGACTCTGATGTGGAAGGCCATAGGGTGCATCCCTTGGATAAGAAGTATCCAGAACAGGTGAACCCCAGAAAGACCGGGGGCACAGTCACCAGGCGAGGAGGCAAGCATGTGGCCACTCGGTGGGCATGGGCTTCACCTCTGCCTCTAGACAGAGGTGGGGTCGCCAGCACCACGAGTGGCCCAGATGTGGCTAGACCATCACTCCGAGAGGGTAGACAGCCAGCACAGGAGCTCTGCCATCTCAGCAAACCACCAAGAGGCCAGGACAACTGCCACCAAGCCTGCTCATGTCCTTCCCACAGAAACGCAGAGTGATGGGGCCACACTCAGCTACTCTGGCCAATCACTGCCTGCGGTCTGTTCCCCAAGTCTACAACACACCATCACTCCTGAGTCACAGCTCACACTGAGACCGGAGAGTCCAAGGATGACGAGGACTCTCATGTCCTTCCCACAGAAACGCAGAGTGATGGGGCCACACTCAGCTACTCTGGCCAATCACTGCCTTCGGTCTGTTCCCCAAGTCTACAACACACCATCGCTCCTGAGTCACAGCTCACACTGAGACCGGAGAGTCCAAGGATGACGAGGCGGAGCTGTGGCCTCGAGGGGCCTGGTGCCCACCTGGGCCAGGGACACGCGACCACCATGAGCGAGAGGACAGGAGGAGGGAGCGCCGCTGTAACAAGCACACAACTCCCCTCTGCTATGGGCTGGAATTAAGAACATCCCTGGGCCCCCAGGCATTCCCAGAGAAAGGCAGGGCTCCCCAGGGGCTGAGCAGCGGCCACTGCACCAGGCCAGATTCTACAGTGAGGTCTGCAGGAAACGCTGTGGCTGCTTAGCCCCCACCCTCCCCACCCTCCCAAAGCAGGAAGCACGAGCTGCACCCAATTGGGCTTGGTAAGGTTCTCGTCCGTGTGTCCGGAGCACTGCACCAGAGCCTGGGACTGGACTTTAAATGGCCCTGCAAGGGCTTCCACATGGGAGGAGACAGAAAAAGCAAAGCCATTTCCATGCACGTCACACCCCAGGAGAGGCAGTGGCGGGCCCCACGTGAGCGCTGGTGCACGCAAAAGGGGGCCAGAGTCGCGCGCACAATGGGCCGCCCCGTAACCCTGCCTTCACGCACGGGCTTGGCGCCAGATGGATCATGCAAAAGTTTTGTTGTCAGAGTGCTCCGGACTTTGGAGTTGCAGTTAAAGTGAACCTGGAAATAGGCCAACACCATCCACAGGCCAGCGAGTCCGTGAGTCGGCACACACTGCCGTCAACGCAGCAGGGAGAGAAGGCGGCAGCAAGCAGCTGCCACCTGCGCCACCCAGGCCAACGCTGCGAGGGGAGCAGAGCAGCCAGAGCCAGAGCCCACCGACAGCACCATGTGGACCTGCCCACAGATGCCCAGACCTGCAGTGGAGACGGGCATCCCAGGGGCACCCCACTCACACTCGGGGTGAGGGCTCCAAGGGGCGCCCCCGGCCGTGCCGTTTTAGGCGTGCTGGTCCGGCCACCCCTCAATGAAAACCTAAATACTTATTTTAAAACTGGGCAAGCAGAGAAGCCGGTGGTCCCTGTTCACTCTTCAGCTTTATCAAGGACATCCTGGCATATCACAGGCAACGTTTAAAACAGATCAGCACACTGTCCATAACGGGCCCCATGATAAGTATTTTAGTTTTTCAGACCACACAGTCTCTGCTTCCACTATTCAGCCTGGCTGTGTTCCAATAAAACTTTATTTACAAAAGCAAGCAGAACACGGGATTGGCCCATGGCCTGTAGTTTGCTGACCTGTTTTAAGATAAAACCAGAGACTCTGCAGTCCTTGGAGACATTGAGCGAAAAACCAAGGTCAAAAGGGTTCCTGGGACTGCGCTCCAGCTCCACCACAGGAACAGGCAACCCTGAGCTACCTCGGTGCCCCCTCCTCCCCTGGCAAATCAAGAGAAAGGAGGAAAAGCTCCTCCTTGCTGGGCAACTCTGAGGACAGGACGCGAAGCTGTGTCGCTGCCACACGCACTGCGAGAGGGGACTGTGAAGCTCCACAGGGCACAGCCAGATGGGACACGGTCCTGCTCCGGTCCTCCACAGCGGCAGTCCCTCAGGCCCACGCAGAGCTCCCTCCCGCCCGACGCCACGCTCGGCATAGAGCGAGCAGCACCCACAGCCGCAGCCGGGCCCAGGGCTAAGGACAGCAGGGACGGGACCGAGTGGGGCTGCCAGGCGGGCCCAGAGCACGGGGAGAACCTGCGCGGGGGTGAAGTGCTCCCAGCCTGCCCTGTGAAGAAGACACGTACAATGTGCGTCTCAGAACCCACAGGACTGTAGTAAGAAAGTACAGACTTCACTGTAGACAAATTACGTCTCTGTAAACCTGTCTTTCGAAATTTCTTTAAAGGAACAGAGCTGGAAGAGTCAGCTGGGCCTCATGACAGCCTGCTGGCCTCTTCCAGGAAGCCTCCCCTGACTGAGGCCACAGGGCTCTGCACAGCCCCTGCTCCATGGCACCCCGGCCTCTCCCGTGCCTCGTCTGGCCTCCCCATCTGGAGCTGCCTCCAGATTGCACAGGGGTTGGGTCCTCAACACTATCACGCAGGGCCAACCCACAGGAAACCAGGGACACATGGGATGCAAGATATAGCCTGGCACGGCCTGTCCAGCACCCCGAAGCAGCCCAAGCCCACCTGACACCAGAGGTCTACCACCTCTCTGCCATGTGCCACCCCGGCCACCAGCACGGCACACCCCTGGACTCCCACCTTGTCCACCAGCCACCCAGTGTCCTCTGTCCCAGACCCCTGGTCCAAAGTTCTAACCTCCTCAGGACACTCCCACTCCACCTGCTGGCCCCGCCTGGCACCCGTCCAGGGCTTCCCAGCTCTCAGCAGGACTAAGGACAGCTAGTCCTTCACAGAGAGTGACCAGCACCCACTCTGGCTGTGCTCAGTCGGCCCGGCCTTGACCCGACCTTGCTGTGTGGGACGGGAGCGAACAGCCTCAGCCTCCTGCCCTGCTTGCAAGAGATGCCCGTCTCTGGCTGCAGTCGCCCTTTTCAGAACAAGGGGACCACCTCAACTTGGCAGGAAGTCTCCAGTACCTGCCAGCACTGGGAGCTGGGGAGAGCGGGCCCTCCGCTGACACCCAGGGGAAACGGCGGCGGCAGCACCCACCCGGCCCGAGCTGGATGAGCGGGCCTCCCTGAGCCCCGCCATGGGGACGTCCAACCTAAGCCCTCGGATACTCTGCAAGCAGAGCAGGGACAGCAAGCAAGGGGCGCGCCGGCCGGGCCCACAGACGAGTCCTAGACAGCCGCCTTCCGCTGGCACACACCACACCGTGGGGCTCCTGCCTCATTCACCAGACCCCACACCGCCCCAGAGAGCGGCGAGCACACGAGGACGTCCCAGGCAGCCTCCTGTGGAAAAGCGAAACACTGCAGAGCGCCTGGACAAAACCATCACGGGGAACGGGTGGAGCAGACGACCACACACACGCAGCGCCCCGCAGCTGTGAGGGAAGGCGGCGGCAGCATCCTGAGGGAAGCCTCGCTTTCCTCTGAATGGGGCCTGATTTACACCCGCTGGAGCTACTGTTTAATCAACAGTCCGAGCCTCGCCAGTCCTGCGCCCTCAGCGCCCACGGCAGCGTGACGCGCAGGCAGCATGCGCTGTCCGTGTCCGACCCCCGGCCAGCAGCGCACTCCTGTCTCCAGCAGCCCTCGGGGCACAGCCTTTGTCACAGCGCCTGTGCCTGCCGCAGGACGTGGAGAGCGCCCGCAGCCTGCAGGAGCAGGGACTCCGCTGTCAGGAGGAGAGGAGACAAGTACCTGGGCACAGAGGGACAGGCGAGGACCCTGGAAGCCCCCACGGAAGCGAATCCTGCCAAAGCACCGCTCATTCCAAGCCTCGAAACTAACCCAGTCTACTTCCCTCCCAACTCAGCCCAGCTCCGGAAGACTCCACCCCCGTGGACCAAATCAGCTGGGACAGAGAGCTCCATCCACACCGCAGACCTCCCATCCTGTGCCCCGGAACACCTTCCACGGCAAATTTGCTGCATCAGGTACTCTGGAACCTGTAACCTGCGTGTTAGTTGTTTCATTTAAGACAAAAGATACTAACGTATCAGTGGTTTCTTTCTAAGCTAGAGCCTTAGCACTCAGGATTAACTGCAGCATTGGTGCTTTGCGATCAATCAGTGGGTTCCGGGCACTCATCTCTAAAACGCTCACCATCACTGATCTAAGGCACACAGGAGACCGGAGCCACACATCCTCGGACTTGGTGAGTGCAGGGGCCTGCAGAGCACGGGGTGACGCTATCCCTCGCCTTTGACACTCTTCACAGGAGTGCAGGGCCCCTGACTGCAACAGCGCAGCCCGCCCAGCGCTCACCTTGTAGACATGCCGCCAGTTCTTGCCGTGGTCATTGAGCCGCTTCCAGATCATGCTCATGATTTCCGAGAAGGCCACCACGTTGTAGGTGAGGTCGGCGATCTCTGACATGAGGGAGCTGGACGGGCCCCAGGGGTCATTGCTTGTGGCCTCTCGGACCTTGATCTCTGCCTCCGAGTAGTTGTGGACGATGTTCTTCATCTGGCGCCGGAGCGACGAGGTCGACATGGTGCCAGGTGGTGGAGCTGAGGGGCGCAGGCCCCCTGGGGTGTCGACAAAGGTGGCAATTCGCAGAGGTCGGCCACACAAGGCACTGGCAGATCACCACATCTGAGGGGAGAGAAGGTCTTTGGAAACAAAGGAGACGCAGGCCAGCCCGAGCCTGAGCCACCCTGGTGGAGACTCCCTACCGGCCCTCCAGGGCGAGGACAAGATGCGGACTGTGGCCTGGAAGGCGCTGTCCCTTGTTAACCTCCATCTGAAAACTACTCCGTCCACCTTTCAGTTCCTCAAATGTGCTTGGCCCCTTCCTGCTCAGGCTTCTGCTCAGTGAGGCAGAGCAGGCAGTGGCACAGGCAGACGTGTCACACCAAGGTCCCCACCCCAACTCAGCTACTCCTTAGCTGGACCAACCATAGCCAGCCCCAGCTTTTTCTCTGTCTCAGGAATCCAGGCACCTGAGGACCTGGCACACAGGGGACCGGCTGAGGGCTGGCCAGCCACGTCACAGGACTGCCCACCCCCAGGGCGCACTCTTCCTACTTCTCCCCCAGGGAGTCCGACTGCCCAACTTCCCAGCAGCACCACACTCAGCCTCCGGGGGCCTCATCAGCAGACTCCGTCACCCTCATGATTTCAGGCTCACGTCTGATTCTATAGCTAAGGCTAACCCACAGCCCCTTGAGAGCAGGAACCCCATTTGTCTGGACACAGCTTCTTCCCATGGAGCAGCTGGCCCAGAAAAGCCACTCGAGGAATTGCTGCAGGAAGAGAAGGCAGGCCAGCAGAAAGACTCCATGGGACACGGAGGGGGAGGGGCTGGGGGGGGGCAGCGAGCCAGTGAAGGCACTGAAGAGACGGCAGGGAGTCAGGGAGCAGTCACACAGCAGTGGGAGCCGGGGGACGCCCAGGGACTCTGGAGCCCACAGGCAGGGAGGAGATAAGGAATGTGATAGCCCCAGGGAAGCGTCCCCACCAGGCAGCAGACTACACTACCTCACTTAACACTGGCTCTGGAGGCCAAACAGAGGCTCCCTCAAGGTCACCCCTGGAGTGGTATGGCAGCTGCCACCCAAGACACACTCGAACTCTTCAAAACTTACACTTTTAAATTAACCTAAATTAACTTCTGCTGACACCAACAACAAAGAAACAGAATGGCGGGGATCAAACAAATGAGGATCCAGTCGGCGCTCCCCCACAGCTCCTATCTCAAGCTAGCACCTTCTGAGTACTTCACACAAGGACGATTGGAGGTCTACGAGAAGGAGGCACAGAAGTTACAGCCCACCCCTAGGGACACACGCCTCACAACTGAAGCAGCCGGGTGAAGATCTGATCGCCTGTCCCAGCCTCACCAAGAAAGTGTGGAGGGAGATTTACTGAGCCCTTCCAAAACCCAAGCCTGGGAAAAGAGGGGTGAAGGACAGAGTCCGCCGCTGCTGCCTTCAACTCAGATGTTACCAGGTGAGAGCGAGCAGCCATGGTCCCCAGGCGGGCCAAGTAAGATGCACTACGACAAAAAAACACTGTCACAAGTAAAGGGAAAAACAGTGACAAGAAAAGGAACGAGGAGAGGAGAGGCAAGTCACAGAGAAAGCTGGGGAGAGGGGGCGGCCCAGTGAGACCAGCACCTACAGAAACATGGGAAGATGGTCAGGTGAGGACTGAAAGACGCAGGCCTTGAAACAACAGGAAAAAAGCCAACCAACCAACCAACGAGAAAAAGACAAAAACAAAAACAAAACCAACCGAGACTGAGAAATAAGAAACAAGAAACACGGGACACACTGGAAAAGAACACAATGTTTAGGCACCCCTCCTGGCCTCCGCATCAGACACCCGCAAAGCCTCCTTGGGATTCCAAAAAGAAACCGCCTTAACTCTGACAGGAAAGGCAACTCCGACCCGGTAGGCTTGCTGATTAAACACCCTGGTACACAGAGGGCCTGGCCCTGCGCCCACAGATAGCAGGCACTCAGCAACCCCGCCTGCTATGATTATCCGCGGAAAACCACACTTCGGAGAGCGGCATCCCAAGACGCCCTGTCTTAATACCACGTACTTACTTCAAGTGCTAGAAAAAATACGCCACGGACACACCAAAGCCAAGACTTACTGGTTTTCAAATTAAATTGATCTTCTCCAAGCGGAACTCAAGTGATCAGTATCCAACGTTTGAAGGAAGCAAAATCTCGAAGCCATGAAAACCAGAGCCCGACTGCACCCCCGCCAGACACCCAGGCACTCCAGGAGCACCTCACCGGGGGGAAGCGGCCCGCGGGGAAGGAAGTGCGAGCACTTCCACGTCAAAGGCAGGAACCCGAGGCCAGGAAACACGGCGCCCGCCCCCGGGCCCCGCGGGCAGCGGCCTGTGCCCGGGCCAGGGCGCAACTCCTCGCGGAGACCCCGAACCCGGGAGGAGGGCGCGGAGCGGACACCGGCAGACGTCCGCGGGAAGGGACGCGGGGACCAGAAGCCCAGCGAGGAGGACCAGCGCCAGACGTGAAGACGGGGCACAGCGCTGCCCTCGGGCGGGGGCAGCAGCCCGGAAAACGCAGCCAGACCCGGACAGGCAGCCGCAGAAGCGGGGCAGGGACGGCAAGAGCCCCGGACGCCCGCAGCCCCGAGCCGCGCTCACGGCGCCCGCGGACAGGTCCGGACCGGGAGGCTCGGCCGGGCGCAGAGGCACAAAGGCCGACACCCGCGACCGCGACCAGCTGAGAAGCAGCGATGCCGGGCCCAGGCCCCGCCG